GAGAGAGAGAGAGAGAGAGAGAGAGAGTGTGTGTGTGTGTGAGAGAGAGTGTGAGAGAGAAAGAGAGAGAGAGAGAGATGCAGATCTATAATATATTATGTACATAGATGAATAGACAGACAGACTCAGACGGGCGGACAGACAGACAGACAGACAGACAGACAGACAGACAGACAGACTGACTGACTGACAGACAGACTGACTGACTGACAGACAGACAAGCAGGTAGACAGACAAAGAGAGCGGTGTTGGTTTGTCCTTCGGCACAAATCTGGTCTGGGAAGAAAAAGAGGCTCTGTGGTAACACGGAGCAACTTGGGATATCGCTACCAGTTATTGAAACGACTCGTCCCCGCGGGCCATGAAAAAAAAGACCCTACCCCGCGAATAAAAGAAAATACTGAGGTGACCATCCTCACCTGAGGATCAAACCTCAACCTCTTTGCGATCAGATAGACTACTGTAAAACGAACTCAACCCGCTAGATCAATGAATTTGACTTCATTAGTGATAATCATCAACCGCTTGCAATCGCGGTCTTTTGGCCACGCAATGAAGGTCTCTCGGAGACAGGCAATTATCATTGCCGTCTTAATGGGCAAACCAGAACGATTTCTTCATTTGACCATTTGAGTAATGAGATGCAGTTTTTATTCCATGCCCTTTGGTCATACACATCAGACACTCGTGATGAGGGTCAAACGATGGAGGAGATAACATCGGTGAACACCGCAGAGCGGGTCAAAGAGGCGAGAGTCAAGGGATGTAATAAAATCGATTAAGAGACCTGCTGTAAATTAAAGATCCGTCGATCGTCTCCCTTGATAAAAATCAAAGTTTAGACGCCGACTATAACATTAACAGAATGTCACGGAGATGTGGGGCCGACTTTCGAAAATATTATCTTTTCGTTCGCCAAAAACACAAGGTTACGAACGAGATGAATGTATTATCTTTACATAAAACGGTAATAGACTGTGTCAATCAGAGCATGGGGGCTAAGAGAAAGGTTAATTAGCGCCATCTCTTCTAAGAATAGCTAAGTTTGAACATTCTTTCAGAATTACATGTATAACAAAATCACTATTTTCGTTCGGTATATGTGAGCTCTTTTACTGTGCAGAATTGTATTTACAGCAACAGCTGTCCTCTGAATGTCAAAAAAGCCCAATCTATCATTCTATATCATCTGAAGTGCAAATGAACGATGCTGCTGTATTTTAGTGAAAGTCCAAAAACGACCTCTCTTGTTAAGGTCTCTCCTATACCCCGCCCCCTTTTTTTTACCCCTATCCCACCCCTCACGAAGAGGGGGGGGAAGCAAAACATAGATGGGACGGAGATCGAGATATTCAATGAGAGTGAGGGTGTAAATTGGGAGGAGGGACACATACACAGTCACCTGGAACATACTGAACTACCGTGCATTAACATCAATCTTCTTCTTTAAAAAATGCACTCGTGCACATAAACACAAACCAAACCCACTTGCCACAGGCACGCCTAGAGGGCGCGCACGCATACACACACACATACACACACACACACACACACACACACACACACACAC